CACTTTCGCCGACCGATCGCGTGATATTTTCTCTCTTCAAATACTCATGGCTACTCCTCAGAACTTTATGCCAAGCTACGATGATCTTCTCAGGTGGTATCAGAATTATCAGAACTCAGATTCTACTACTATGGTAGCACACACCGGGAATTCATTGGTTTGCCTCTCTCAATCATTTCCACTTCGACCTTGGGTCCTTGATTCTGGTGCGTCTGATCATGTTACTGGTAATAAAAATTTGTTCTCTTCCCTCTCTACCTCTGGTTTCTTACCTACTATAACTTCTATCAATGGTTCTCAAACCCGATCCGAAGGGATTGGTACAGTTCAAATTCTACCTTCTCTATCTCTTACTTTTGTCCTCTATGTACCTAATTGTCCATTTAATTTACTTTCAGTCAATCGTTTAACTCGCTCTCTTGATTGTAGTATCACCTTCACTAACAATAATGTTACCCTGCAGGATCAGAGTTCGGGAAAGACGATTGGCGTCAGATATGAGTCTCAAGGCCTTTACTACCTCTCATTGTCATCTCAGATATGCTCAACCAAAGATTCTCCACTCACTATCCATGCTCAGTTACGTCATCCCAATCTTTCCAAATTACATAAGTTAGTGTCAAATTTATCGAAGGTATCTAATTTACATTGTGAGTCGTGGCAGTTAGGGAAACACACTCGTAGTCAATTTCCCAATCAAGTTAACAAACAAGCTTCGTCCCCTTTTGCTTTAGTTCACACTGATGTTTGGGTCCCTCGCGTACTACCTCTACTATTGAGTCTAAGTATTTTGTCACCTTTATTGATGATTTTTCACGTTGCACGTGGTTATTTTTAATGAAGAATAGATCTCAATTGTTTTCCATTTTTGAACAATTATATCGAGAAATAAGAACCCAATTTGGTTTATCTATTCGTACCTTAAGAAGTGACAATGCACATGAATATTTATCCCAACAATTTCAAACATTTATGTCATCCAATGGTATTTTGCACCAAACATCATGCCCTCATACACCCCAACAAAACGGGGTAGCCAAACGCAAAAATCGGCACCTCGTAGAAACCACTTGGACTCTACTTCTCCATGGTAATGTTCCTCTTCGATTTTGGGGAGATGCGGTGCTCACGGCATGTTACCTCATAAATCGCATGCCCCCATTTGTCCTTAATAATAAAATCTCTCATTCAATCTTGTTCCCAAACTCTCCACTCCACCCAATTCCTTCTCGAGTCTTCGGGTCTACATGTTTTGTACACAATCTCTCCCCTGGTCTTTATAAACTATCAGCTCGATCACTAAAGTGTGTCTTTCTTGGCTATCATCGATCCCAAAAGGGTTATCGTTGCTACTCACATACTCTACAACGATACCTCGTATCGGCCGTTGTTACCTTCTTCGAGTCTGTTTCATATTTCGAGTCCAGCCAAGTAACTACAGAACCTCTACAGGAAAGTATTCCCACACCTCTTCCGGAAGTCCCATCTGTCATTATCCCCCATCAATCTAGGGAATCTGACTCACTAGATATCCCTACGGTTGAAACCCCCCCCCCCCCCATTCCTCGTCCATTTCAAACATATCAGCGTCGTCACCCAGCGTATGTCGTACCTGTCCCTGAAGTCGTATCCGTCCTTGAAGTCGTACTTGTCCCTGAGGTCACTACGGACTCTCCTCCGACGCTCTCGCTATCACCGGATCCGATCCTGCAACCTGAGTCTGATCTTCTGATTGCCCTTCGAAAAGGTATACGTCAAACACGAAATCCTTCTCCACATTATATTGATTTATGTTATCATCGTCTTTCCCCTTTGCAGAATACTTGTTTGTCTTCTTTGTCTTTTGTTTCTATTCCTAAAACTCCAAGTGAAGCATTATCTCACCCTGAGTGGAGGCAAGCAATGATTGATGAAATGTGTGCTCTTCAAAGTAGTGGTACCTGGGAACTGGTTCCTCTACCCCATGGAAAATCTTTATTAGGTTGTCGTTGGCTTTATACAGTGAAGGTTGGTCCAAATGGTAAGATTGATCGATTTAAAGCTCGCTTGGTAGCCAAAGGATACACTCAGATTTTTGGGTTGGATTATAGTGATACTTTTTCGCCTGTAGCCAAGATGGCATCTATTAGACTTCGTCTAGCCATTGCAGCCATTCGACATTGGTCTCTTCATCAACTTGACATCAAAAATGCATTCTTACATGGTGATCTTGAAGAAGTATATATGGAGCAACCACCTGGGTTTGTTGCTCAGGGGGAGTCATCGAATATGGTTTGCAGGCTACACAGGTCTCTTTATAGTCTTAAGCAATCTCCGAGAGCTTGGTTTGGCAGATTCAGCACTGTAGTACAACAATTTGGTATGATCCGTAGTGAAGCTGACCATTCTATTTTTTATCTTCACTCAACCCAAGGGCTTATTTATCTTATTGTGTATGTAGATGACATTGTCATAACTGATAGTGATCAGCACGGAATACTCCAGTTGAAACAACATCTCTCGAAACAATTTTAGACAAAAGATCTTGGTAAACTCCGCTATTTCTTGGGTATTGACGTAGCTCAATCTAAAGATGGTTTGGTGATTTCTCAGCGAAAATATGCTATGGATATTTTGGAAGAAACAGGTTTGTTAAATGTTAAACCAGCCGATACTCCTATAGATCCAAGTGTTAAACTACTACCCAATCAGGGAGAGTCTCTATCTGACTCGGGAAGGTATAGGAGATTGGTTGGAAAGTTGAATTATCTCACAATCACTCATCCGAACATTTCTTTTGCAGTCAGTGTGGTAAGTCAGTTCTTAAATTCCCCTTGTCAGAACACATGGATGTTGTTATCCAGATTCTGAGATACATCAAATGTGCTCCAGGAAAAGGTCTTGTGTATGAGGATAAAGGACATTACCAGATAATTGGAGGGATACAGATTGGGCAGGGTCACCCATTGATAGACGATCCACCTCTGGGTATTGTGTACTTGTTGGAGAAAACCTTATATCCTGGAAAAGTAAGAAACAAAATATAGTCGCAAGATCAAGCGCCGAGACAGAGTATAGGGTCATGGCAATGGCAACACGTGAACTTATTTGGTTAAAACAGTTGCTCAAGGAACTTCAAATTGAAGAAGCAAGACCAATGACACTTATTTGTGATAATCAAGCTGCATTGCACATTGCTCAATCCAGTCTTCCATGAGAGGACCAAACATATTGAGATAGACTGTCACTTTGTCAGAGAGAAGATCGAGTCAGGCGACATTGTCACAAACTTTGTCAACTCTAATGATCAATTGGCAGATGTGTTTACAAAATCCCTACGAAGCCCCAGAACTAATTATATATGTAACAAGCTTGGTGCATTTGACTTATATGCTCAAGCTTGAGGGGGAGTGTTGATATTTGTAAATATGTATAGTGTTAAGAATATTTGTATATAAAATAGTCTCACGTTGACTATATCATATAATTAGTTATAATCTATCTATATATAATAATGTCTCCGTAATACTTTTCAAAACACACGGTAACCCACCGAATCTTAAACAAGGCTCTTGATACCATGTTAAGAAATTGTGGTTGGACCTAACTCAACCCTACAAAACCGGTTGGTAGAGTGAGGATTACCCCCACTTATAAATACATGTTCATGCCATATATTGTCCGATGTAAGACTCTTAACAGTTCTCAAATCCGATATGAAGAGATTGGTACTGTTCAAGTAAAGCAACTGATATAAAATCCAATTTTGAATTAAATAAAGTTGATAATCCAAAAAATATCATCCTAAATTCCTAACCATTTGATAACACCTAGAGAGTAAGAAGTTACATAAATTAGGGAAACCAACCTGCAAGTGGTACTTGATCCCATGGTTTAAGGGAAACTATCCTTCAATGACAAGGTCAAGACAATTTCTCTCAATTAGTCTTGCATCCAAACCCTATAGCGGTGAGTTGTGCATTTACAATCATGTGACTCTGTCACATATATCCTTGTGTCAAAAGAGAATCATCGAACATACTTATTAAAACCTAAATAAACATCATTTAACCTTGCTTCATACATGGCAATTGATAATCATGATAAGGCCTTGCTTGAAGATTCTACCATCAGAGTCACCACCCAAAATTTACACATCACATCTTCTCAATACAATCGCGAGCCAAATAAGCAATTTCAACACTTCTCCTAACCATGTTTTCACCTTCATTAGAAAACTTATTTCTCTTAAAACCTTTAAGAGTGGCCTATGCACATTACAAAAAACTACCTCTGATTCAGTTTTATTAGTAATAAAAATACAACTAGAGACAACAGATTTTTGCAAACAGAACTCACAAGATAAGAAAATGTGGTTATAATTTTCCAAATAACCAAGGTGCCCCTGCTCTATAGAGAGCATGTTGGTGATAAATAACTGATAATAAAGGTGCACCAGGTCCACAGAATTCACTTGATACCAATAATTCTGTAAGCCATTCAAAAGAAAAAGAAAAATGAGAACAAACAAAAATCTATCAGAATAAACTAGAGACTAATACTCAAAAAACCATTGAAAAGTGAAACCTATTCAAAGTAAAAGATTATATTTACCGGTAACTTTCATGGCAATCAAATGATAAATGTCAACCATCTTCCTTTTATAGTATGTTATAAAATGCCAATTTTAAAATTATACCAAAACCCAATTCTAAGTAGCTAAAACAAAGGACAGATGCATACAAGGATGTGACAATGCTGCATAGTAAATTTTGTTAACGAAAGGATGTGAAATTATAAGGTGTATTCTTTTATCATTCATTATGTCATTATACCTCCAAACATCCTCAAGCATCTTAGTGCTCTCACATTAGGACTGTTCTGTCACAAGGAAAAAGTCATAAGCTCGCGTTGCATGCACTCTCAAGAAGTCATAAGTAGCCTTCCTTAGCTTACAAACCTTGTCTTTCTCTAAGTTAAATCCAAGTGGGACCTCCATGTAAATTTCCTCTTTAAGGTTGTCATGTAGGAAAGCATTCTTGACATTGAACTGCTGCAAATTCAATCCATAGTTAGATGTCAAAGATAACAAAATTCTAAAAGTGCTTAATTTTTTTTACGGGAGAAAAAGTCTCGTGATAGTTGTTGTAAATAAGTTAATTTTACTACTATTAGCAGTAACTTATATTAGGGTTTTTAGTCCATTAGTTAGGCCCGTTAGATTAGAATAGTCTTATATAAAGAGATTAGTGCTTGTAATATTAACATACTTGAATATATTGTTCGAGAGTTTCGCTTCCGCATAAAAAAAACCTAGCCACCTTGAAAAGTGAGAGGCAAATCGGAGTGAGAACACGGTTTGCAAAAAAAAAAAATTAAAAAAATTTTCTCACCGGAAGACAGTAGGTCAACCGGGTAAAGCACAGCGAAGAAAGAATTGCCTCTTAGCATGCTCTAGATACCATGTTAAAATACAAGAGACTAAGAGACATTTGAATAAACCGTGTGTTTTGAAAAGCACTACGGAGACATTATTATATATAAATAGATTACAACTAATTACATGATATGGTCGATGTGGTACTATTCTATATACAAATATTCTTGACACTGTATATATTTACAAATATCAACAGTAGTAACTACTTCATATCCAGCTAGGGTGATAATAAGTGTAGTTTTGTTTAGTCTAACTTATCACTCTAACTAGTAACTAGTCAATTCCATCAAGGTTAAATAAAATGTAACCACCCAGCTATACAGTACACAACATATAGACATTAATGAAAATTTTAATGTCCCCTAGGTAATACAAAATAAGCACATAGAAATCTGATATATCTAGATAGAAGTTCATTGAGAATTACAGGAACTGGCCTGGACAAAATTCTTTTAGGTTGCAAACTCACAGATCAATTAATTAAAATGCAAATTAAACTCCACTTTCAAATCACTTCATCTAAAAACTGAGTATGATATAATTTGGTTATATGAGACAGTACCATTCTTCATTCCTCGTACGACTCCATGAGTATGAGATAGTAGCATTCTACATTCCTTATATGACTCGGCAGCCTCTTTCATCAAGTCCTACTAAGAGTATAAAAATGATATTAAGCTGTAGAACCCTAGTGACTACTTTCCTAAACCGAATCATTTATGGACTCAACAAGACTCACAATCAGATATTACATCGATCTGAAATGATAATACCAATAAATGTAACATAGATAACTTTAGTACTAGCTAGTGACATAAATAACTTTTAGCTAAATATGAAATTTGTGGAAAAAAAAGCTTGAGTACTTTCCAATCTTTGATACAACGAGTACAAGATATCTATATCAATTCATACAATAGAGTACAACACTCTAATCTACAACTCAGACTATGATCTGGTAGCGATAAAGCTCTCCGTTCAACTTCTCACGAGTAGTATTAACATACTTTTCAGCCTTCCAATGTGAAACTATACCTAAAAATATCATCCCAAACATAGTGATTATAGAACTCAGTAACATAGAATATAAAATATAATTTTGATTTTCCCAGCCATGTCTTGTGTATTTGACACAGAAAACCCTCTGATCAAATAATCATAATTAAGGATGCTTATTATAGCTTGTTTGCTCGTCCGTACATTGCATCCGCAACATCCCCGAGGGTGGGTGTACCCAAGAGATAGCCACCTACTGGTAAAGTACACTAAAAAGAGGTATATGGTGGCATCCCACTTACTACTTTACTACGTTCCTGTAACCATTACATTGGTACCCCTATTTTCTGAGGCTACTTTATCTACCCCACAGTTATTCGTTTAACATTCATTATTTTCATATACTACCTAGTTGCATAATTTCACAGCTAGTAAGTAGCATTGCTTTTTGTTCTTGTATTACCTAGATGTTTAATTGTGCATCTAGAAATCTTGGAATCTTGGATACCTTAAAATTATTTGTTTGTCATCTACTCATCATATACCATAATTCATTATTAGCATTTGCATTACTAGTTAGACTTGTCCATTAGGCTGCAAAGTCACACATACCACAAATATGAAGCAACACTTTTATCTAAGCACATAATACATTATAGCACACAAACATCACAGTACACACTTGTCATTAACAATACTTGTAATATCCACTACTAACCGAACTTCATGTCACTAACACTAATGTACATTATTGATATACAGGGAGATGTTATACTAGAGGAATTAACAAGTTGGTAGCTAGTGAATCTAGCAGTGGCAGAAGTGTCAAAAAAAGTTATGTACTAAACACCAAGGATATACCCATACGGGTTCCGGGACAGCATATTCTATTTTCATTTCAAGACTCATATTCTCAAAAGTTCATTCAGCAACTAAACTAAGTAAATAACATTCAAAATTCATCATAAAAACAAATTAAATACTATAGTAAACGATTACCATCTCAACATTCATATTAAAAGAGCGTGTATTCATAGACATTAACACAAACACTTAACATGCAACATCATTTATAATAATTTTTCTTCTATGTACACCCTGAGAGGCTTTAAAGTTTAGGATTAAGACTATGTTACCTAGAACAATTTGAAAAGGGAATCCGAAATTTGACCTTGCTTGCCTCTTCAATGGTGGAACCCTAACTCCCATTTTTTGGAAAGAGGTGTGAGGTAGCTGCATGTTGCCCTTAAACAGAATTTCCCTTAGACAGCAAGCGATTTTGAGATAATGGAACGAAGAGAGATTGGGGGTTTCCGAAGAAGAGAGGAAAAGCGATTTCATTCGGTGATGAAGGAAACGGATTTTCGATCGGTGTTGAACGAAACGGATTATCGGAGATAGAAGCTGAATCAATTGAAGTTCATCCATGAAAGAACAGATGATAGCAAATATCTTAGTGATAAAATTAGTGTAAGATAGCAAAGCTTTTTCATGAATAATTATATAGTCTGGAATAAAAAATTGTGGTTAATTGTGGTTTAGAGTGGTTTATTATGGTCGGAATCGGATTAGAATTTCGAATCTGAGACACAACCGAACCCAACTGTGCTTTTAATATACACATTAAATTTTATCTAAGCTTTTAGTAAATGACAATTGACAGAGAGTAGTGATGAAAAGATCTCAAAACTAAAAAAAATAGTATGTGTGTGACAAATGGAATTTGATTCTCTCCATTTTTTCTCTCTAATACCGTTTTTCATCTGCAATTATGAACTATGGGATTAATCTAACTATTAAAAGACAACAAACAATTTTCATCTGCAATTATGAACTATGGGGTTAATCTAACTATTAAAAGACAACAAACAAAAAGATCACAAGAAAAAAATATCATTTAAAGAAGAGAGAGAAAAAGACCATCACATTCTCATATAATTTATTACTATGTTTTTTTTATATATATTTTTATTAAATAAATATCTTTATTTGGCAATAATTAAAATATTTTTATTTGGCAAGAATTAAAATATTTTATACATATTTAATCAATCAATAAAATTAATTTTTATATTGAATAAATATGAGAATAATCAAAATGAGAATTATTTATTAAATATATGTAAGTCAAAAATAATTAAGTTTAATATTTTATAATATTATCAATATAAAAAAAATAATTATTTTAAATCAATTATAATTCATCTTAAATGTGAAATTTAGAAATCTCTTTGTTTCAAAAATTGTATTCATCTTGTTGTTAATGATCAATCATATAATTAACATGGAGATAAGTGAATATCACAATATTCTCACATAACTGTGTGTACAAAGGCTTGTAATAATAATTAGATGAGGAAGGTTTTAGATGGAGTGAGATGAAATTATGAGAAATTAAAGTAATATAATATAAATTGCAACAAGCACCTTATTTATATTCACTGTCTCAAGTCTTCATTTGAATTTATATGCAAAACCTTCTTGATCAACTTCATCATTGATGTGCACGATGTAACGCCCTGATTCTGAATTTCCCATTTTTGTTGAGTCTTTTAATTTATTTTGATTGATTATTCTTTTAATTGTGGAATTTGAATAGTAATATGTTATGTGTGCGTGTTATATTATTTTATTATTCGGAGAGTTTTGGGGGAATTAATTAGAGGGTGTTTTAGATAATCCTTAATTAGTTGTTATTTGAGAGAAATAGAATAGAAAGAGTATAAGTGGAAATAGGGAGAAAAGAAAAGAGATAGAAAGAAATAAAAAGGAAAGAAGAGAAAAGAGAAGAGAAAAGAGGAGGAAGAGGAGAAAACCTAGAATCATCAAGAATCAAACTTCTAAGCTTCGATTAATCGGGTAAGGGTGTGAAACTTTATTATTCTTTTGATGTGTATGATCATGTATGTTTCTATTGATTTGCTTTTGGATTGGAGAAAGTTTTGCTCATTTTCCGTTTTAGGTTGAATTTGATTTAATCGATAGAACCCGAGTTTTTACGGTTAGAAATGAGAATAAGTGGTGGAGTTTAGTCGAGGAATGTTGGACTAAGGCTACTGAGACGAGTTGAGGTTGAATCGGGTAGATTTCGATGAGTTTTAGAGTTTTGGACAGTGGGGATTTCTGAGTTCGCAGACCCTCGCTAGCACGTTCGCTAGGCGAGCAGGTCGCGAATATTCGTTGGGCATTCGCTGTGGCGAGCTAGTAACGAACGGTTCCAGACTTGGACATAATGGTTTTGGTGTTATTCGCTGGTAGCGAAGGGGTGGTGGCGAGCATTCGCTAGGCCTTCGCTGAGCGAGCGGGATAGCGAATCAAGTCAGTGGCTTCTTTTTGCCTTCGCGAGTTTGTTCGCTAGGCGAACAGGTAGCGAGCACTCGCTAGGAGCTCGCAAGGCGAGTAGGGTAGCGAGCGTAGCAGGCTGTTATTTTCTTGTGTTTTCACATCCATGTCGATTCTTCAATTCAAGTATGATTAATCTTTTCCTATTATGCATAGTTGTGTGTGTGATATGAAATATTGTGAGTAGCCGTAGAAGTGAATCCTAGATTGTGAATCGTGAAGTGTGAAATGTGGCTGTTTGGCAATTTTGTGCATTTGTTTGAATTGAGTGAAAATGTATGAGGAGATTGATGTGAATGTGCATAATTGTATGTATCTGTATGATGTGAAGAATGCATGAGTATATTTGTGGATATGTATGCATTTCAAGAGTGTATGGAGTCGTTGTGTTTGTGAAGCATCATGATTGCATTCTTGTGTGTCTAATCCCACGTAGGATCTGCAGAAACCTCGTGTGCCCTTGTGGGGTGTGAGCGACGGTTTATCTTTGATTCCTAGGAGGATCTGCAGAAACAATCGTGTGCCCTTGTGGGGTGTGAGCAATCGGATTGTGTCCCCGTTTGGGGTGTGAGCAATCCTGAAACACCGTGTGCCCATGTGGGGTGTAAGCGATGAGTGAACATCGTAGGCCTGACGGGGAGTTACTTTGGTAACGAGCGATGGTTCCATTTGGTTCTTCAATTGAACCTGCTGAATGAGTCAGTACCGCATTTGCATCTGCATAGAGTTGTGAGTCGATCTCTATGAGTGCATTATTATCTTCATGTGATGTATCGGTGTAATGGACATAATTGTGTATGTTTATGTGAATTATTGAAGTAAACATAAGTGTGAATGTTTATGTGAAATATGTGAGTGATTGGTGAATTATATATGTGTTGCGATGTATATATGATTGAATTGTGATGTATTAAGGTGAGAAATGTAGTATGTGTATTCTATGTCGGTGTGTGTGTGTGTGTGTGTGTGTGTGTGTGTGTGTGTATATATATATATATATATATATATATATATATATATATATATATATATATATATATATATATATATATATATATATATATATATATATATATATATATATATATATTATATGCATTGTTTGTTATGATAATGTTTCTCACCCTTCTGTTGTTTTAGGATGCTCTATGAGGCATTGCAGAGTAGGTTTGCTGAAGGTCTTTTGCGAAGCGTGGCTTCGTTCTTTTTGGTCGGTTGGCTCTGATATGTAGCACCGGGTAGTTAGGAATTCTTTTGGTTCTTTTGTGATACATCTGTGTATGTATCTGCTGGGATTGTTTTGTAACATGACTTATGACTTGAATTAAACTGTTGATGTATACAATGTTTATATGAACGAAGTGATTCAATGTTTAGATGTTTCCGCTTTTATTCTAAATATTGATGTGTGGGTTTTAAGGGCTAAGTTCCTTTGCGGTGATTTACCCTTTGTTGCATATCTTTTTGAGCAAGTGTTATATGTGTTTTAAATTTCCTGGATAAATGTGGCGTGCCTCTTTTATACCATGTGTTAATTATACACTGATGAAAAATTTTATTAAGTGCTTAAATGATTTAATTGTGTATTTGGGGGTATAGAAAGGGGGTGTTACAATAAGTGGTATCAGAGCCAGTGTTGAGTCAGTTGTGTCTGTCTTGTTGTTGTGTTGGTTGAACGGTTGTTTAACCTTGTTGTTATTTTTGGGAATAATCAGAATATGGCTGGTCTCTGCGACGTTGGAGGCTATGGCTAGGGCGGTGCAAGGTGCACCGAATTCAAACGCTAATGATGAGTTTAGAAAGAATCAGCCACTGGTATTCAAGGGGAGGTTTGATCCGGACGGTGCTCATATCTGGTTGAAGGAGGTTGAGAGAATATTTAGAGTTATGGGGTGTGCTGAAGGAAACAAGGTGAGACTTGGGACTCACATGTTGAGAAAAGAGGCCGACAACTGGTGGGTCGGTATGAGACAAGTTCTTGATTTAGATGACGAAGAAATAACCTGGGATTTATTTTGCACCGAATTCTTGAGAAAGTATTATCCTGAGAGTGTAAAGGGGAAAAAGGAAATGGAATTTCTTGAGCTGAAGCAAGGCAATATGTCCGTGGTGGACTACACGGCTAAGTTTGTGGAATTAGTTCAGTTTCATCCATATTATGCGGCGGTTACGACGGAGTTCTCTAAGTGCATTAAGTATGAGAATGGCTTGCATCCTGAGATAAAGCAAGCCGTGGGATACCAAAGGATACGAAGATTTTCGGACTTGACCGAATGTTGTAGGAATTTTGAAGAGGACAGTGGGGCTCGATCTACTCATTATAAGAGTTTGAGTGAGAAGAAAGGCAAGCAGCAAGTAAGGAGTGGACCTTATGTGACGCTTGTTGATAATGGCAAGTATAAGGGAAACTTTGATAGGAGACTCGGAGGAGGAAGTTCTGGTGCGGTCAAATGTTACAAGTGTGGCGTGATGGGTCACAAATCTTTTGAATGTGGGAAGTCTGAGGAGAAGTGTGCTAATTGTGGAAGTCTTGTACATGCCACTTCTGGTTGTAGAAGGAATGTGGTAAAGTGTTTTAATTATGGGGAAGTTTGTCATATTAGCACCAAGTGTACCAAACCAAAGCAAGCTCAGTCGGATGGAAAAGTATTTGCATTAGCAGGTTCAAACACTACTAATGCGGATCGCTTGATTAAAGGTACATGTTTTATTAATAATATGCCTTTAGTTGCTATTATTGATACTGGAGCGACTCATTCGTTCATTTCTCTTGAGTGTGCTAAGCGTTTGGGTTTGTGCATGGTGTTTTTGAGTGGAGACATGGTTATTGAGACTCCCGCTTCAGGGTCGGTAACTACTTCTTTGGTGTGTGTAAGTTGTTCTTTGACCATGTATGGTAAAGACTTCATTAGGGATTTGGTGTGTTTGTCGTTGGAAGGTTTGAACGTGATCTTGGGAATGAACTGGTTGCAATTTAATAGAGTTCATTTAGATTGCTATCACAAGTTAGTAAGGTTTCCTTCTTTGGAAGATAATGAAGGTGAGAGTTTTCTATCCACTAAAGAGTTGAAGAAGCTTTTAGCGGA